AAAAAAAAAAAAAAAAAAAAAAAAAAAAAAAAAAAAAAAAAAAAAAAAAAAAAAAAAAAAACTCAATAAGCTGAAAAAACAAGTGAAATGGAGGGACAAGATCGAATCACCTTGGACGGATCGACTTTCGGATGGCACTTCACAACCGAGAGGACTCTCTCAATAACCTCCTCCTTGGACAAGTGATCATCGTGCGATGAAAATAGCCGGAGCGACGCAGCGGAACACGACGCCGGTTGGCATTCTCGGCGAGCTAGGGCAAAGAATCGGACTGGAACTCGAACATGGCGAAGAACGGCTGCCCTCAGTGCCATTTTTTTTTTCTGTTCTTCCTGCAGAGACTCTTCGATTGCTCGAACTTGTAGATCCTAAAGTGAAGGTGAATTTGGCATGCGCGAAGCACGTGCGTCGGGAAACTTTATGGGCTTTGGCCCAACATTTCAAATAATTCAATGACCGATCGGCCCAATCTAATTTAGTCCGTACAATTTCAGTTAAATTATTAACTTATTTTGAATTTTATTTAAATAAATAAATAAATTATTTTTCACTGATATAGTCTCTGACCCGTTATATATTAACATCAGCCCCACAAAATGCATCTACTAGGGTGCTTTATTCTCCTCTCCATAACCAATGTGTTTTAAAACCGTAAACCTAACGACGATACGTAATAGATAAAAACGAACAATATCTACTAGTGACAGGCTTGAACGGTTGCAAAATGATAGGAAATTAAAAACTTTTTAGATATACGAACCCCTGAGTCACAAACACGAACATCTCACGTCCATTCAATCTCAACCGAAGATCAGGGTTCAGACAAATTTATTTAATATCAAAGTTCCCGAGACAAAAAACAAGTTTCTTGCACAGGAGTTGAACACGATCAAACCCACTTTAATATTCTCGACACGGAACTCAAAACACATTCAACAAATAAATTAAAATTGAAAATATATATTTTTCAAAATTTTAAATTATTTAAATAAATAAATAAAGGCTGGTATTGGCACCATCAAAGCCAAGTCAAAGTCATTCTTCCCTATCGCAAGGGTAAACCTACCTTTTCTGACGCTAATAATTTTTCAATAATAATAAATACCAATAAATGAACCAAAAACCATAAGATTTCTGTCATTTATCGCAATTATAATTCACATTTACTACATTATTTAAATATTCATCTTTTATATTTATTATATTAATAAATAAATGGTCTAATTTATATATATCTGCGTGTATGTATTTATTTTTATTTTTTCTAAATTAAACCCAAAATTTATTAGACTACATTATTTAAATATTCATCTTTTATATTTATTATATTAATAAATAAATGGTCTAATTTATATATATCTGTGTGTATATATTTATTTTTATTTTTTTTAAATTAAACCCAAAATTTATTAGACTACATTATTTAAATATTCATCTTTTATATTCATTATATTAATAAATAAATTGTCTAATATATATATATATAGTTTTAAAATTAGACCCAAAATTTATTAGGGAGAGGGACCTTGGAATTTAAATAAAGTGTAATTTTGGTCAAAAGTGCAATTAATGTAAAGAAGCGATCAAAAGAGACTCAGCGGTTTCTGACCGTTAATAAACGAGATGGAGTCAGGTCCCTAGGATCTAGGGCCCCACCCACCCATGTAATGACGTGGATTACTTTAATTAAATAAAACACGTAGTCAAGTTGTTAGGATCTGTTTGAGCATGTCACACCGCATTAAAATCCTCTCCACCTGCCATCTCCACCACTTGCCTCATAGTCCACGTCACTCTGCCACGTGGCTCCATCACTCATTTGCTTCCCCCTACACCATTTTTCCTTTTTCCTGCTACCCTCCATTTAAAATATTTAAATAAATCAAAATATAATACCTTATAATATATTAAAAAATATTTTAAAATTAAATGTATGGAAAATAAAAACATTGTAATTATCCGCCTATATTATCCATGCTATGAATACGTTCATTTCCAGTATAGTATATAGTTTTTCATTTTATATTTTTTATGAATTAAAATATTTATATTCAATTATTATTTAGTCCAAGTCATTTATGTACTTTATCTATTTGCACGCAATATAGAAGTCCAAATATTTGTATATTGACATAGTCATCAATATCAATTACGTTCATAAATGTGACAAATTTATATATTTATTTCATTATTTTTCAACAATAATTAGTTGGAGTGGGAAGATTCCAAGAGACATGGCTAATCATCATTCACAAAATTAATTCATAAAAAAAAATATAATATATGCTTTTTAATTTTTACGAATTTACGATCATTTTAATGAAAAATTCAATAATAAAATAAAGAGATAGGAAAAAATTCGAAACTATTTTAAATAAAAGTAAATAATCAAAAAAATATATTGAGAACCTACGTGGATACATAGGCTAGGTCACGAGAATTTGTTAGACTAACTCAAAATTGATAGGATCGAAATCCGAGAAACTATAATAGAGTTAAAAATTCAACCTAACCAGTCGAATTTTTTTAATTATTTTATCAAAATTGTGTTTATCTACCATTTACATTAATAACTCACTAAAAAGGTAGAATATTTTTAATTTTTATATTAATTTTATTTTCCTTTTTCTGTCTTTTAATATGAACTCACTTGGCATAATTTAACCCAGAAAAAGAACAAGGAAATTCCACAAATCCCAAATCCCAAAGTCTAATTGTTCATGTTTGTTTGTTTTTTTGGGGGGTATTGATAATAAATGAATGCAAATGGTCATAGGAAGAATAGCAAAGAAACTAATCCCCGACATCGCGTGGCCTTTTATCGCAGAGGAAAAAGGATTTAAAATTCTTAAAAGGAAAACTGGAGGGGCAGAATCGTACATTTGCCAATCGTATCACCATCAACAATCAATTCTATGGTCAAATGTCAACGGTAGTCGATATCAACGGTTGTGATTGACTCTTCCAAAGTCCGCTATCTTCCTCGACCGATTCGCACAGAGATGAGGCTTCCCCGGAACCCTAAGATTGCCGGAGAAAGAAACTTCCGGCGACATTACCTTCTGATTCCAATTCCGGTTCGGACTTGCTCGTACCAGAGGACTCAAACAAAATGCGAATCCTGATACATTCTGTTTGTGCCCTAATTTCTCTCGTTTAGCCGATCCAGGAATCGTCATCGGAGACTGTTGAAACTTCTGAGAAATTGGAGAACGACCGTGACTTTCGCACTCTTCTTCATCCGATTCCGATATTATCGCCGGCGACATTCCGCGTTTAATCGTTTCACAATGATGTCTCCGTTCGGCACCAGCGATCGATTCCTCGACTGTCGCAAGGCTCGATTGCTGCTTAATCCGACGGCCGTTCAAGATCGTCGAGAACCACGACGGCGATAAAGAAGCCGAATCAGAACCGTGCGATTCGTGAGAAGGACTTTTATGCTTCTTCTCGAATTTCTCGGATCTAGATTTAAAAAGCTTCGACCAGAGCGAAAATTTACTCCTCTTTTTCCGATCGAACGAACCTGTAGTAACGAATGTAGAGTTCGCAGTGTTATTCGTTCTGTAATCAGGTCCGATTTGCGGAGTACTGTAAAATCGCTGATGGCGATTGCGGCGATTTCCTTCGCGATCGAGATCGCTCAACAAACCTTCATCCGATTTCAGACGATGATCATAAGGAGAAACAGAACGAAGAAAAACAAGCGGCGGTGGCGGAAGAGGTCTATCGTCCGCCGCACGATTATCGCCGGCAGCGGCGGCACGGATCTCCGATTGCTTCTCCGCTTGTGCCTGAGCAGCAATAATCAAAAAAAGACGCTCCCGTAAACAGGAAGCACAGACGCCGATGCTACTGCTGCAGTCGAACTGGTGCTTTTTGCACCTCATTTACTAGCGAAAAAAGAAAAATCGAAATCGGAGCGGAGTTTCAATGGCGGATCGTGAAGATTTCCGGCGAATTTTGAACGATGAAAACGAAAAGAACTCGGATGAAGAAACTTCACTGAAAATGGAAATTAAATTTTGCAAGGCGAGAGACGCTGGTTGGTTTACAGTAATTATTTATATTTATAAATGGATTGTGCTTTTTCGAAAGACGGAACCTGACAGCCTTTTTTTTTTCTTTTTATAATTTTTTAAACATTAATTAAAATAATCATTTAATTAAAATTAGGATAAATATGAATAATTGTTTCCCCGTATCTGTGTCGTTTGAATTTCACACCTTCCGCTGTAATTTTCTTTATTTGGCAACGATTTTCTTTCTAAATAATTCAAATATCTATTTTTTTTAAAAACGGCATATTAATTAATTATTTATTTTTGTTATAATTTCCATTTTTATTAATAACATTTATAATACTAAATTATTGAATAACTGCTCCCACGACATCTTCAAATTTAGAGTTTTGTTGCATTTGTTATCTAAACCACGACTCACAACCGAACCAGATAAGTTGAGTTGAGTTACCAAGTTATTTTTTAATTATTTTTTAAAAATATAAATTATATTTATCCAACTGAATTCAGTGTTACATTAATAATTAAAATTTCACAAAAACTAATTATCAAGTATTTACACGTTAGAATGCATCATTAACATCGATTACAAATGTCAAATATTCTTAATTTTCGTAATGATTTTGACCGTCGGATAGGGTTAAGTTAGATTGTAACTTCATTTTTGAACAAGTTGAGTTCACCCAGTAAAAAAGAGACGACTCGAGAATTGACTCGAATTTTTTAGGTTTAAAAAGTTCAACTCGATCTAATCTTTATGGTTTAGATTGGGTAGTCTAAGTTAATATGGTCATCAAGTTACGTGATTTATTAAAAAAAAAAAATAATAATAAAATAAGTCGACTTTTAGAGTTGAAAGGGTAAACGGCGTCGTTATTTTCTATAATGAGTTATGTACGGACAATAATTTTATGACAAATGATGGTAGGTTTAAAAAACAGTTAATAGATAATAAATTCACCTCCATATAATACATTTTAATTTTAATATTTTATTTTGATGATTTTTATGGTTTAATAAAATTTTATAATCTCCAACCAATAGTCAGCTCCTACTTACAATAAATATATATATATATCCACTCGTATGCTCGTTACATTGTCTAAGCTCTATTCAGTCGATAACCTTTTTTAAGAGAATCCGCTCTTACCCCATTTGCCTTTAAGAGCTCTTTAGCGAGAAGCTTTTTTCTCGGGAAAATAACAATAGATAAAAATGACTTTTCTTTTTTTATTAATATCAACAAAATAAAATGACTCTTTCAATAATTCATTTGGTTTGGTAAAGTTCTTATAGTCTCTACTGTTTCGAAGATTCTACTAAATATAAATA